AAAATGGCCTCACCTTGGACATAATAAACAAGTTGCTAAAACATTCTCTGAAGTGATAGCTAATCCTCTTAGATACTCTCAAGTTGATCTCTACATGATTCTTCAACATTGCCATAGTTATAAGGACACACCAATATATCAAGTTGATTCCTAAACTATTTATTCTGAGAGTTACCTTAAAGATCAAGTAGTACCAGTGTTAGAAGAAGAAGCAAAAAACTTTATTCTTATTTCCCTGAAGGAAATATTATTACAATAAAATCTGCAATTATTATGGGTATCAAAGCACCAATTTTTTATATGCATGTTGTTAGATTGCGAAGGAGAAGAAAATATTCATCATTATTCACCAGAAGATATTGAGCATCATCTTAATACCAAATATACTTCATTTTTTGAGCAAATTGTGGCAGAACACAACAAGGTCTGGGTATGTTTAAATTTATTTGGTGATGATGATAAATGCAAAGATCAAATATCACAAGAAACATGCCAGAATGAACATAGATCTATTGAACACAAAAGAAAACATGAAGGGATTAATAATGGTAATAAACATCAAGAAGAAGAACTTCAAACTAATAATCAATTTCAAAAATTACAAGAAACATGCCAGAATGAACATAGTAGATCTATTGAACACAAAAGAGAACATGAAGGAATTAATAATGGTAATAAACATCAAGAAAAAAGACCTCAAACTAATAATCAACTTCAAAAATGCAAACGGTTATTTGCTTTTAGGCGTATCGAAGATAAGAAAACATTCGGAATTCGTGATAAACGGAAAGGATCGACATCATTATAATAATCATAAGAAAATCCAATTAATCCTTTATCGTTTTTGATTGTAGAATGACAAAACGTTACACTTTAATTATAAATCTTGTTTAATTGTATATAAGGAACTTGTACAGTCAAATCTCGTTTCAACGAAATAGCTGGACATATTAATATAAGAAAATGTTCGTTAAAACGAGATTACTAATCATGTTTCAACGAATTTTTGTTTGTTTTCGTCGAAACGTGAATTTAATTATAATTCGCTGGAAGGAAGATCGTTGAAACGAGGATTTGACTGTACTTGAAGAATAACAAATTTTTTTTTTCAATAATTTAAAAATCGAAACCGAACCGAAAATTTCGGTTTGAACCAAACCGTTCGGAGCTTTAACTATTACAAATCGTGATATAACAGAGTTAGATTTAATAATGTAAGTTTATAAATGCCTGTTTTGTTTTTTTATACATATAGTAATGAGAATTGCATGTACACTGGGATCTATATATTAATTTAATAGTTGTGAAAGGATTAGTACTGGAAGTAAATGAAGAAAAAAAGGATGAAAACAATATTTGTAAATTTCTAAACAAGTGATTTTCCACATAAGAATATTTAATAAGTAGCCTTAACAGTTTTTTATTAGAAAGGAGGCTTGGCAGAAAATCCGATGTTACATTATTAAAAAAAAATCATACTGTGATCCAAAATCAGTAAATTTCGAATTCCTTCTGGTGAAGTATGTTGGACTCCATGGATAAAAATCGAAGATAAAGACTCATCAGATACATACAAGTGTTTCAAATTGTTAAAAGATAATTACGACCTGATTGTAAATATTTTTACCAGAAATATGGAACATATTATTAAATTTACAAAGCCTTGAAATTATGGTATAATTATTTCAGGCAAGTATTTTTTCCATTCTCAGTTTGTCATTAAACAACTGCTAATTATTTATATATTTATTTAAGTAGTTTTTAATATGAGAATTATTCATTCGATCAAGTAACTAATACCAGTTCAAGATGAAATCATTTTATTCCTAGTTTGACAAACATTCTTATAGTTTTCAGTACAACATATGACACAAATGGTTGAAGGCTTAGATAATGCTTAAAAAAGAAAAGATTATGAAAAAGCCAAAAGATGTATCATCAATAGCAACAACATGTAACTCACCATCGCTGAAAGGAATTTCACAATTTACGAATTATATTACAAGTCAAAACTGTATTCACTATATATTAGCTTTATTATTATTAGCAGATTAATTGTCGAACCAAAAACTAAATTTGCATGAATTTTATAATTGTTGACACAGCAAGTTTCCAATTTTTATTTTAAACAAGTAGCATAACAACAATGAATCATCATTTTTTGAGGATGACAATAAAGATTAAGATCTGATTTTGTTTCATGAAAATACTCAAGTTTTTCAAAAAAATCGGCTGCCCTACTTATATGTTTTGAGTTTACAAAATAGACTACTATGTCTTGACCCGAGTGATGTTATTTTGTTGCTCTTTGCGACGAAGAAGATGCAACCCCAAACCCAACTTAAAATAAATGAATTTTTGTTCTCGCGTAACATGGTGTGCGTGATTTGTAACACGAAAACCATAAGCGTTCTCAGTTGTGAGCTTGTTATTATCATAAAAATTTTTACTGATTGAATAAATAGGGGTTATTTTTTTTAATTGAAAAAATGTCAACGGAAACAGTAATATTAAAAAAAATTTGATATGATGAATGTGAAGTGATAAATAACTGAATCAACAATTAATTTACCATCATCAGTCCGTCAATCATGTTTTATTATTATATGAAGTTTTGATTTAACTGGCTGTAATACGAACAATTGAATACTTTTTCTGCACACAATTTAAATATAGCAAGAGAAACCAATTAATTGAAGGAATTGAAATCATGTACTGAATATGCAAAAGGAAATTTAACTTTTTATTTACAATTTGATTAATATATATATATACACACATATATGCATTATTTGTTCTAATAATAATAAAAATACTATTTTTTTTTTTACACACAAGTAATTTTTTTATAATAAGTTTTAACAGATCTCCATTCATTCTGATAGACTTGTGATTTTTGAAGTCAATTATTAGTTCAAGGTCTTTTTTTTTGATATTAATTACCATTATTAATTCCTTCACATTTTCTTTTGCGTTCAATAGATCTATGTTCATTCTGGCATGTTTCTTGCGATTTTTGAAGTTGATTATTAGTTTGAGGTCTTTTTTCTTGATGTTTATTACCATTATTAATTCCTTCATGTTCTCTTTTGTGTTCAATAGATCTACTATGTTCATTCTGGCATGTTTCTTGTAATTTTTGAAATTGATTATTAGTTTGAAGTTCTTCTTCTTGATGTTTATTACCATTATTAATCCCTTCATGTTTTCTTTTGTGTTCAATAGATCTATGTTCATTCTGGCATGTTTCTTGTGATATTTGATCTTTGCATTTATCATCATCACCAAATAAATTTAAACATACCCAGACCTTGTTGTGTTCTGCCACAATTTGCTCAAAAAATGAAGTATATTTGGTATTAAGATGATGCTCAATATCTTCTGGTGAATAATGATGAATATTTTCTTCTCCTTCGCAATCTAACAACATGCATATAAAAAATTGGTGCTTTGATACCCATAATAATTGCAGATTTTATTGTAATAATATTTCCTTCAGGGAAATAAGAATAAAGTTTTTTGCTTCTTCTTCTAACACTGGTACTACTTGATCTTTAAGGTAACTCTCAGAATAAATAGTTTAGGAATCAACTTGATATATTGGTGTGTCCTTATAACTATGGCAATGTTGAAGAATCATGTAGAGATCAACTTGAGAGTATCTAAGAGGATTAGCTATCACTTCAGAGAATGTTTTAGCAACTTGTTTATTATGTCCAAGGTGAGGCCATTTTTTTAACAAGTATTTCAATATAAGTTCCTGTCGGTGTGGCTTTTCTGCTTCATAGATTATTTGATTTTTTAATCTTTTCAAGTACTCTTTTGAAGGTTGTTTATGTTTATTAACCTTAACCTCAGCAAGATAGAAAATCGCTCTTTTGTATGAAGTGAAATGAGATTGAATATAATGAGATTCATATTTTAATGTTAATTCCCCTCCTTAAGAATTTTATCAACAAGTTTGTTGATTTCCCCAATAAGTCTTTTTGATCTTTTCATATACAAACCGCATTCTTTATTACGATCCTCACATTCTTCCATGAATTTTTTTTGAACCTCAAACATTTTTTTACCTTCCTCATCATGAGCTTTAACAAAATTCACATCAACATCTTTTCGCCAGAAATGTACCCTCATTCCATCTTTCTGAAATGTATAACGTAATCCTGAATCATCACCTCTAATAGACTTTTCTCTGAAATTGTTAAATAAATAAATGAATAAATATGATTATTTATCAATTAAACTTTATATAATTACTTACTTTCTTATAATGGTTCTTGTACTGTAACATTTAGTACAGCATCTTACACGAAACTGTCAATGTATTTCAGTCGATTCAATAATACCACAATACATGTAGGATCAAGGTGAAGCAAGGAAGAATCTAATATATTGTAATTCACTCCAGTTTGGTGAAATCTTGAACACGTTTGCATTAGTGCCAACAATCGGATGTTGGTAAATCTTCACAAATCCGGAAGAATATTTCAAGGGGCATATTTGAGAAAAGTGCCAATTTTTTTGTCAATCTTGGCATACTTGTCAAGATTCAAACTATAATAATAAATAAATATATAAACAAATAAATAAAATAAAAATAAATAAGTAACTAGAGTGACGACGAGTGACAGGCGATAACCACCACCACCATTCTTTTGATAAACACTTACCCGGCAAATTCTTTATTTTGTTTACTTCTTTTAATATTTTCTTTTTGCATCTTTAAATATTTATGAAAAGAAAGGAATAGTAGTTGTGATTTGATCGACGTGTACGCATTAATTATTTATTGTATGTGTGCTTGTTTTGGGAAGCAAGACGCTAATGATATTTTTGTTTTTGGTGGAGAATGATTAATTATATTACTGT